TTCTAGTTGGAGTCTCAGTCATCCAGGCTGGAAGGCAGTGGCCGCTCCCAGCCACCGCAGCCTCGACTGCTGGGCTTCAGCTATCCCTCCTCCTCGGTCTTCCAAGTAGCTGGAACCACAGGCATGTGCCACCATGCCTGGCTAACTTTTAGATTTATTGTAGAGATGAGGTCTCGCCAAGTTGCCCAGGCTGGTCTGAAACCCGTAGGCTCAGGCAATTCTTTCACCTCTGCCTGCCAGGCTGGTCTCAAATTCAAGGGCTCAGGCAATCTCACTTCGGGCTCCTAAAGTGCTGGGATTATAGGTATGAGCCACCGTGCCTGGCCTATATTTTTATTTTTATTTTTTTGTGGCAAATGAGCTTGCACTATGTTGCCTAGGCAAGTCTCAAACTCCTGGATTCAAGCAATCCTCTTGCCTTGGCCTCCCTAAATGGCAATTTTTTTTTTTTTTTTAATCAGAGTATCACTCTGTCACCGCCCAGACTGGAGTGCAGTGACACACTCACAGCCACCGTAGCCTCAACCTGTGGGCTCAGGTGGTTGTTCCACCTCAGGCTTCCAAGTAGCTGGAACCACAGGTACATGCCACTATGCCTGGTTGGCAATTTTTAAAAAGGAGTCAAGTTCAGCGGCTCATGCTTATAATCCCAGCATTTTGGGAGACAGGTGGGAAGACTGCTTGAGCCCAGGAGTTCAAAACCAGCCTAGGCAACATAGTAGGACTTTGTCTCTACAAAAAATAAAATAATTTAACAGGGCATGGTAGCGTATACCTGTAGTTCCAACTGCTTGGGAGGCTAAGGCAGAAGGATTACCTGAGCTCAGAAGTCCAGGCTTCAGTGAACCGTGATCCTGCCACTGCACTCTAGCCTGGGTGACAGTGTGAGACCCTGACTCAAAAAACAAAAAAAAGGGCAACAAACTTTTTGAAAACATGGCCAAAGAAAATATATGCTGGATTTGGCTTACTACTTGCAACATCTGGTCGTGCATGAAAAATACCTATATACAAATGATTATACACAGAAAATAAGCCATGCCAAAACAAATACCTTGTGCTTCAGAAATAATCAGCAGACCAGGCGTGGTGGCTCAGCCTGTAATCCCAGCACTTTGGGAGGCCAAGGTAAGAGGATTGCCTGAGTCTGGGGATTCGAGACCAGCCTGGGCAGCTTGGTGAGACCTCGTCTCTACAATAAATCACAAAAACTAGTTGGACATGGTAGCGTGTGTCTGTAGTTCCAGCTACTTGGAAGGCCGAGGTGGAAGGATTGACTAAGCCCAGCAGGTCAAGGGTGCAGTGACCATGAGCGTACTGCTGTATTCTAGCCTGGGCAACAAGAGTAAGACTCCAACTCAAAAAAAAAAAAAAAAAAAA